AGCAGCAATGCAGACCTTACCCCCAGGTACCAACAAAGGAAAGAACCCAAGGTGCATTTAACCAGAGTTGTTCAGTCACCAAGCCGTGTCCGACTCTTTGTGACCCCATGGACTGCAGCACGCCAGGCTTCCCTGTCCTTCACTGTCTCTCTGAGTTTGCTCCAACTCGTGTCCGTTGAGTCAGTGATGCCATCCAGAGACTCTTAGGGAATTCTGGCCCAAGCCTACTCTTGGCAGACAACATGAACCAGAGGATTTGGGGGGGTTTATTGATACTTTGATGAGTTTTTAAGACATGTTTCTCTCACACTGAAAAAAAAAAAAAACACAAATCTACTAGATAGTATAGATGTTGTCATGTCAAAGACCATCTGGTATTTCTCATCACTGTAGTCGCTTGCATTATATGAGCACTGAATTGTTAGTGTAGTATGTATGTGTTTGTTTTTCTACCAAAAAAACGAAACAAAACAAAACATAGTTTTGATCAGTTTCCTAAAGAGATCTTGATTTACAAGTGTAGGAACCCGAAAATTACATACTGACTAAAGCCTCTTTGGGTCCTAAAATTGCATCCATCTCAAAGGTCAATGACAAACTGGCAGTGTTACTGGAAAATTTAGTGAAAATCTGGGTCCCTGTGTTTGAATGTTAAATTTTTGACAAAAAATTCCAGTCTCTGGTCGGATGTTTGGAGTCACATATAGATAGAATCCAAGAACTTACACATTTGGATAATTGATGCTGGGCTCCCAGACTGCCCCAAGCCTAAGTTCATTCATCTAAGTTTGGCCAAGGGAAAGCTGTCAGGGACCTAGCATGGTGGGTCAGGGCAAGATGCTGTGAACAATCCAAAAGTCCTGATCAGTAGCCAGGAAGTGTCTCCTCACTTATCCAGACTAAATCAACTTGATTTTAACAACCCAAACTGGACTGGGAAGCTTCCTTGGTGTCTCAGACAGTAAAGAATCTGTCTGCAATGCGGGAGGCCTGGGTTTGATCCCTGGGTTTGATCCCTGGGTTGGGAAGATCCCCTGGAGGATGGCATGGCAACCCACCCCAGTATTCTTGCCTGGAGAATCCTCATGGACAGAGGAGCCTGATGGGCTACAGTCCATGGGGTCACAGTCAGACACACCTGAGCAGCTGAGCACACACAAACTGGACTGGAGCTGGGTCACACACCCACCTGTTAACTCCCCACCCAGCCCACCTCTGCGAGGCAGGGGAGGAGAAGCCAGTTGGAAATGTGTCTTTCCCCACATAAGGTGTCTTGTTTGTCTCAACACCTGCAGAGGACAGGATAGAGGCCATGTCCCCACCCAACACCATCCCCAGCCACATGATCGGTTGCCCCCAGGTCTTCCGAACTGCTTGGACTTGGAGTTAGTGCTGCAAAATCATGACTGAAGATGTAACCTTAGAGTCTTCAGACGTTTGCTCCAAGAGTTTTAACCACAGACTCCTAAAAGGCTGCTGTTTTTGTTCCTTTGGGGGGGTTTCATCAGAGCCATGAGAATAAACCTAAAAACTTCTGCCACTGTGTAAAGTAACATCAATTGTTCACAGAGCCCAAATTCTATTTCCTTGCAATGTTTTACTTGCCCTCCTATATTCCCCCATGTCACCTCCTCCCCCCAGGCATCCTTCTCCTTGCTTTGGTCTCCATCTGAAGTGAATATTGGAACCTCTTCTTTTTCCTCCTCAATAAAACCCCCTGGACTTCAAACCAATGGATGCAATGGGGGAATAAAATTAGGGGACGGCACACCCTCAACTCATCCTTCACAGAGCACTCCTAGACCCTGGCTGATCTGGGGGAGCCTTCCCTCCAAGTATTTGATTTAGGGCCTGGGATCATTTCCTGAGGGGACCATCTACCCACTGCGCAACACCATGGTACCACTGGGTGGGGAAATAAAGGGTCTGTTTACAATATTAAATTTCTCAAGACTTGAGGTGGGGTCCTTTGGACTCTTCAGCAGTGATCAATTTTTCAGTCTGCCGCTTTATCTACCTGACAGGAAGACTTGAACTCCTGCCATTTCTAAATTGCACTTCTAAATATTGACTTCATGGCGAGACTCGGAGTGTCATAACACAGCTCACTGGAGCAACGAAGATTTCCCAGGCCTCGTCAAGAGGTCTGTACAATGTCCAGTGGGGAGTGGAGAGGGGAGAGGAGGATTTGAGGAGGAAAAGAAAACCAAGTCACGTTCGGAAGAAACGTCACTGCACTCTGCTTAATCTTGCAGAGGCCAAGGAACGCCCCGGGCCAGGCGCTGTGTCTGGAGGGGACAGGGGAGGGAAGGAAAAGGACAGCTGTGGCTGTTGATGCCTCGGCGGTCAGCCAGTAGGAGCGGAGGGGCCGGAGCGCGCCGGCCGTGGGCTGGGCGGCAGGGCCTTCAGAGCCAGCGGGTTCTCAAGGAATCTAAGTTTGTGGATCCAGTTTACAAGGACTGGACAGTGTCTAACAAGCCAGAGACTTTTCATCCAATTTCTCTCAAGACTTCCACACAGCCAGACAGTTAGCTAATCTTCGTTTGGGTCACCGAGGAAATTCTAGGAGGTTATCTGTCTTAGCTTCTGCCCTCCTGACAGGTAACACCTCACACTGACCTCAAGGTTTATTTGTCATGTCACATTAGCTGGGACTCAGAGAAAGCGACGGGCTTTTTCTTGCCCTTCAGGAACCGTTTCGGAGGTGCAGCAAGGTACTTTACATGCAAACTAGCGTTGAGAGTTTGTAGCTGCTCGGCGATATATAAATTCAAGTCGTTGGTCATGGTTACGGAGCCAGATGCCCCAAGGTGAGATCAAGAGTGATGCTCTGGAATAGGGCAGAGAGGAGTCTGAAATACGGCAACTGTCTCCTTTAGGGTCTTCCTCTGCCTTTCCGTGAACATCAGCACCCAAAGCCACCCAAAAACTCATGGGAGAGGGGGAACATAGGCATATGAAGCACGTGGGGTGAGGGGGGGAGATTCCGGGGAGGGTCCTCTTCAAGGCAGGAAGAACCCAAGTTCCAGACACAGAACGTTAAATTAACCGGGTACCGTGGAAGGGCAATATTTGTCTTGATGGTCTGTTCTGAGGTGGCCCCTAAGACAGTGCGATCCATCTGTGCCTCTGCTGGGCCTACATACCACGATCCTCGGGCTTTTCAATGCCGATTACTGAGAATGACCTCAAAATGCGGCAACGTTTGGCTCTGGACCTCATCACGTTGTGCTGAACCTAAGCTTGCCTCCTCTCGGAGTCTGATTAGTTTGGCTGAGGCACCCACTTGTTTTCTTAATCTTACGTCCACCTCCTTGAAAAATGGAGCCTCCATTTAAGGTGATGGCATCTTCTAAATCCTACCCTTGCTTGAAAGCTTCTTCTCACATCAGCCAAGGTAGCCGTTAGGGACCAAACCCCAGGTGTCTCCTGAAGCAACTCTAATGCTCCCCCAGCTCGGCATCTGGCAGCAGGACCGGTCTGTCTGTTTCGCTGCTCGGAGGTGAAGTAGCTGATGTGATGTGGAAGCCACCCCGGTCATCCCCGGCTCACCTGTGGGTGCTAGTCACTGCTCACTGGCGGCTTTAGGGCATTCGCCACAGCATAGCAGGTTGCCCGTTCTCCATCTGTCTGTGTTCCATGCTCCTCCCCCGGGAGCTGGCATGGCCTTGAATGCCCTGAACCACTCTCCACGTGACTGCCTCCAACCAGCATCCTCCAAACTCCTGCTCAAGGCCCACGTCCTCCACGTGGGCCACCTGTGACTCAGCCCGGGCTTACTCACCCTTCTCTCCAGGCTCCCCCAGCCCCCAGAACCCACCACGCTCTCACCATTTCATCAGGCTGCTCTGCCACCAGCCCAGCCCTGCGAAATCCCTCCAGCAGCTTCTCTGCCTGTATCCCTTCACTTCTTCTAGGCCTCCCCCATCTCTCCTTCCATAAGGACAATCATCTAGGATTACACCACGAAGCAATAGGAAAAAAGTGTCTGCAGCCATGTGTGTGGAAAAGTCACATTGTGCACTTGCTTAGCAACACCTCCCATTAATGGGAAGACAGAGGTGAGTTAATTATTTTGTTGTCATGGAATCCTGTCACCCTTAATGACAGAGTTTTGGCTGAATGAGAGCCTCCCGGACTTGCCTGGTGGCCCAGTGGTTCAGACTCTGTGCTTCCACTGCAGCGGGCACAGGTTTAATCCCTGGTTGAGGAAACTAAGATCCCACAAGCTGTACGGTGCAGCCAAAAAATAGAATAAAACAAAAAGATGAGAGATGCTAAGCCTCCTTGTGGCCTCCAGGACAGTCTACATGACTCTTACCTCCCTCACTGAAATAAGTTAAGTCCTTCAGTTTCTCACTGACCTATGATGTGCAGGCAGACTATTAATACAGAGGCTTCATTTAATGCACAACCAAAAAGTTGTAAGAGCTTTGAACCCTCTTTCCAGTATTGTAGGGGATCTCAAAATCTATAGAAACTGTACTCCAAATTCTTTCGTAAAGCAAATAAGCACCCTATTACTTATCTCTCCTGGGTATCCAAAATTCTGTCCATGAAAATGCAGAAATATTGCTGAACCAAGGATGGTAAGAGATGGCATAGTGTCTGGTCTGATGCTAGCATTCAAACCAAAATATAAAGGAGATTTCCCTAGTGGTTAAGAATCTGCCTGCCAATGCTGGTGACATAGGTTTGATCCCTGGTCTGGGAACTAAGATCCCACATGCCACAGGGCAACAAAATATAGAGGAACACTTCCATAAGCCATTTTTTGAACAAAGACCCCACTTTTCCAAACCCTGGCTTGGTCTTCAAATATATCTATGTGCAGCAAAATATAAAGAAACACATCCATAAGATATTTTTTGAACAAAGACCCCAGTTTTTCAAACCCTGGCTTGGTCTTCAAACACCTCCACATGCATGCTTGTCCCCAGAGATGCCACTGTACTTTGAGATTTGGAAGGTTGGAGTGGCCTGGAGGCCAGTTCACTCACCTGGCCAATAGTACATGTAGACCTTCCTTTTGGCCTTGGTCAGAGTGACCCACAGAGGTTCTGATCCGTTCCACCAGAGAGGCAACCGGCTGTCTCTGTTGATACCTATGTTAAATGACTTGTTGGTGTTGGAGTCCCACATGTAGTTCTCGGTCATGTGATGGACCTCACAGTGGCGACCTGCATTAACGAAGACACATGGCTGTCAGTTTATTGTTATGGTATTTTTACATGTCATCTTTATTTTCTGAATTTATAAGCTGTTTGTGCTTATTTAGGGAGCAGAGAACAGCATACATTCTTATTTTTTTATTTTTTAAAAAAAGTCATAGATGTTTCTTTTCTCTTAGATTGTACCATAAAGACAAACAACCCAGTAAGAAGTTCAATATTGATTGATGATGAGGCCATTTCAAGTGAAAGTAACTGGCCAAGTCTGAAGCTATTTTAAGTTAAACTGAGACCGTCATGTGTAAAACCTGACCCATTGTTTGTGGCTTGACGTCCAGAAAAGAATCAGTGTGAACACTGCAGATTCCCATGGGCTTGGGTTATGTTCTCAGCCCAGAGCTCTCTCTGCAGCCTTTCCAAGTCCTCCTCCCACCAGATCATGAATCTAGACCCCACGGAGTTTGTTCCCATTTTTCCCAGATAAAGAGGAGTTATCGCTTCAAGTGCCGAATGATTATAGAACTCCTGATGTTTGGAACAGAATGGTGAAAAATAGACTCCGCTTTGAAAAACAAAGCAAGAAAACAGCCCTCCCAGTGGAGTGTGGTGTAGACACGAGGGGAGCTTCTGTTGGGTGCAGAAGTGAAAGACGCAGCACTTGGACTCATTTGAAACATGAGGCTTAAATTATTTATTTTGGAGCAATCTGTTACATCTTTAAAGTAAAAATAACACAAACATTGGCAAGTGCATCAGAAATTGCTGTGATTTTAGTGAGCATCATTTGGCTCCGGGATGACACATGCTTCATCGAGTTCACTGACGATGCTTCGTCAAAGTGGCTTTTTTGTTTCCTTGTTTGTCTGCTGTTGTTCTTTCTTCCTGCCAGCGCCTACCCCTCAACACCCACACTTTACTTTTAATCAAAAATGGAGAAACCGTAAAATATAATTTTGAAAATTTGCAGACTCCAAATATCCCAAAGTAAAAACCTTTTATTTCATCATAGAAACTCAGGCGTTCCACAACTGATGCTTTCAATTTAAAGCCCAGAGAGCCAAACAAAATTATTTTTGCTCAAAGCTGTAGAGTTAGTTTTTTGACCCTGACCAAAGCTTTCATGTGTGAATTGACAGAATTAATAAACAAATAAAAACTTTGAGCAAATTATCCAATGACTACAGAACTTCCTAGTTTCATTTATTCCTCCAACTAACATTTATTAAATGCTCCCCTGGATGTAAAGATTCACATTTGAATAAATGTGGTCCCCATACTCAAGTACCTTGTTATGCATGTTGTTGTTTAGTCGCTAAGTCGTGTTAAGACTCTTTGCTACTCCGTGGACTATAGCCCTCCAGGCTCCTCTGCCCATGGGAATCTCGAGGCAAGAATTCTGGAGTGGGTTGCCACTTCCCCCTCCAGGGGATCTTCCCGACCCAGGGCTCGAACCCACGTCTCCTGCACTGGCTATCAGATTCTTTACCGCTGAGCCACCAGGGAAGCCCTTGTTATTATAGCGCTGGCCAAAAAGTTCGAATAGTAGGGAGAAGGTGTGTGTGTGGGTGTGTGTGTGTGTGTGTGTGTTTGTGTGTGTGCGTTCAGCAATTTCTACTTTTAATTGGAACTGTTTCGATTACTCTAGAAGAAATGCATGAAACCCAGATCTAAGCAAGGGGCCTCATATGATTCAGTTTTGAAAATGTGCTGTATTCAGAGAAGCATGAAGCAAACAAACAAAAAAAAACTTTTTTAAAGTATTTAAAACTTCCATCCTTGTATGTCTGAGAAACCCTACAATATCATTTGATGAAATTTCCCTCTTCTTTTCAACACTCACTTTCAACACTCTAGACCCAAAATTTACAGGCTTTCTCACTATCTTTTGCTCTTTCCCTCATGGGTGAAAAGTGATGGCGCCCCCTAGATTATAGAGCTGTAACATGACTGGATTATGAGGGAGGGGGTGTGTGCATGTATGTGTGAGAGAGGGAGGCAGAGAATATTCTCCCCGAGAATTTCTGCTAAATTCTCTACTTCTCCCACTTGTGTTTTTTAAATACTCATAAGGCCTCACTGAGCAGAGCTAGGATCTATGTGTGCAGCTAATGCATAGCTCTACCATATTTTTACATTTCAGATGATGAAGTCTTTTTTCCTGTGGTCATCTGGGTCTCTTCACTTTTTCCCTAAAGGGTCTTCTGTTCTCAACGATAGGTAGGACCTAGCATTAGTTTTTGTATCTTCTTTCCATACCAATTGGTCATGGAGCCTCTAGACTCCGGTGAGCCTCAGAGACCTTAATTATGGCCCTCTCCAGGGAAGCGTCTTTGAGACAAGACCTCCAGAGACAGCTTTGGTCCCCACCGGTACCGAGGCTGGTCCAGGCTGGCCTAAAGTGGCACATCCCTTCTAAGGAGAGCTCAGGCCTAAGCAGGTAAATCATCCATCCCCACTGTCCCGAGACCCAACCCCTCTCCAGAGGATGAATGACATGAGCACCAGCAGGGAGGGTCCTAACCACTTCCTGGGAGAGGATGGTGCCCAAGAAGATCCTGGAACCAGTGGTTTCCCTTCTATGATTAAAGGGTTTCGAAGTGAAGAGGGAGACCTTTCAACAAGAAGGTCATCTTGGAACCCTGTTCAGAAAGTGGGTTTTATTCTTTTAGTGTACTGGGCCTTGAGTTGAAGTGAGAGAGTGTATTCTTCAAAGGCTTAATCACAGATGCCGGGCTGGTCCCCAGGGGCATCCCTTTGTTCTGGGAAGCACTGCCTTTCACGGAAGCCAGCAGGAGACGTTTGCTCTCCTTCTCCTCGTCTGCTCAAATCTTCTCTCCCGGCTGAGCTGATTTTCCTTTGCATGAATATATGAAGGCTGGCAGTCTGTGTCTGTGACTCTGAGTCTGCCGTTCCTCAAGCTGGTTTCCTTACCCACCCTGGCCTTCTCTCGCGCTTTTGTTTTTATTGCTTGGGCAAAAGCAGAAAAGAACAGAACAGAGCACAATGTACCGGCTTCTGCAGCCCACAAGCTCTCCTTTCCATATTTCTGCCTGACCTGTCTCTATTTTTATGCATCTGCAACTCTTCTTGATTTTTCTCTGCTCTGGGCTTTCTAAACAGAGCCTCGCTGTAGTTTGATTACTCAGACCCTTTGCTCAAAACATCAGTAGAAACTTTCCTGACACCATCACAGACCACAAATCTCAGGTGGATTTCAGGTACAGTGTTAAAGATCAACCTCCTCTCCCTCCTCCCCCGCCTCCTCCAAATGAAGCTCTGTACACACATATGCCTATGAATACATACATAAATTGGAGAAGGTAATGGCAACCCACTCCAGTATTGTTGCCTGGAAAATGTCATGGACAGAGAAGCCTGGCGGGCTATAGTCCATGGGGTTGCAAAGAGTCGGACATGTCTTAGCAACTAAACCACCACCACATAGATGAACACAGAGCACATAGTAAAACCTCTGAACATTAAGTTACATTATTAATATGAGGGTAGAGAGTCATGCTGACAAATGAAATCTGGAGATCAGTTGGACCTCCTTTCTTCTGAGCTCTCCACGTGATTTGTCCCAACCCCGTTTCCACTAAATTCTTGCACTTCCCCGTGACACTCACGACATCGCAGCTATCTCTCCCTCTAGACTCCTGCTGTCCTAACATATGGCACCCCAGAAGTGACGCTCACTGCTTTACTGCCTGGCACAAAAAACCTGCTCACATGAAACATACACGAGTCGGGTAAACCTAACTGGGGATTCAGTGCGGTACGAACAGGAAGACTGAGAGAAGTGCAAAGAACTGCAGATTGAGGGTTAGACACAGGTTCTTAAAAGTCCTTTCAGCTTCCCCCACCAAGGTTTCCTCCTTGGCCCCTCACTCAAAAAACTCTGACCGTGCACACCTTACTGATTCATCTCTGCTACATATCACCTACCTCCCAAATTTCTCACTGAACTTCAAAGTTCTCTCAAACACAGTTCAGCCCTCCAAAGCTCCTGCTTCACTCCTAAGTTTGCATAGATCATTAGCTTATGCATGCTCACTAAGTTGCTCAGTCCTGTCCGACTCTTTTCGACCCCATGGACTGTGGCCCACCAGGCACCTCTGTCCATGGGATTCTCCAGGCAAGAATACTGGAGTGGGTTGCCATACCTCCTCCAGGAGATCTTCCCAACCCAGGGGTTGAACCCAAGTCTCTTATGCCTCTTGCATTGGCAGTTGGATTCTTTACCACTAGTGCCTCTTGGGAAGCCCTCATTAGCTCACCAGTTCAGTTCAGTTCAGCTCAGTTGCTCAGTCGTGTCCGACTCTTTGCGACCCCATGGACTACAGCACGCCAGGCTTCCCTGTCCATCACAAACTCCTGGAGCTTGCTCAAACTCATGTCCATCACATCGGTGATGCCATCCAACCATCTTATCTTCTGTCATCCCCTTCTCCTGCCTTCAATCCTTCCCAGAATCAGGGTCTTTTCCAATGAGTCGGTTCTTCGCATCAGGTGGCTAAAGTATTGAAGTTTCAGCTTCAGCATCAGACCTTCAAATACTCATTGGAAAAGGACTGATTTCCTTTAGGATGGACTGGTTAGATGTCCTTGCAGTCCAAGGGACTCTCAAGAGTATTCTCCAACACCACAGTTCAAAAGCATCAATTCTTTAGTGCTCAGCTTTCTTTATAGTCCAACTCTCACATCCATACGTGACTACTGGAAAAACCAAAGCTTGGACTAGATGGACCTTTGTTGGTAAAGTAATGCCTCTGCTTCTTAATATGCTGTCTAGGTTGCATATGTTGCATATGTTGTCGTAGCTTTTCTTCCAAAAAGCAAGCATCTTTTAATTTATTAGCTTATAGAATGCTTTAAAAAATGGGAGTAAGGGGAAAGAAGGAAGAAAATAAGGAAGGACAAAAAGGAAAAACAAAAAACAAAAAATGTTTCTTTGAACAGGAACTACCCACTTCAGAAGGCCACTCTAGTTGGAGTTGTTATATTTATTT